TCGTGTTGCCTAGCCAGCCATACCCCATGCTGTATTTGAGTACATGATTTATTGCTGACTGAAGATAAACCTCTGCACGTAACCTTACAGACTTGCATCCTGCTTGGTTTTCTGGAGGTTGCAACTGTCAAAAATCATTCTGAATTTGATTCTTGTCTTCAAGGGTGCCTGAAACCCATTTCAGCTTGGTGACATCTGCGGGCTGAATGCCCAGATGCTCCAACCTGTCATTCAAGCCATTCATGAAATAGGGCAGACAGACTGGTGTGGAGTCCCAACCTTCTCATTATACCCCTCCAAAATCTCTAGTACTTGTGGTACCCACAGAACAACCTCAGCAAATTTTGATTCTCTAGAAATGGCCCAAAAGAAAACACCATGTTTGTGGGAGGATTCCTCTTCTGAGGACAAGAAGAGGAAGGCTCGAACCAACAAGTGTACTAGGAGTTCTCAGACATCAAAAAAACTTACGTTGGAGAAGCAAATCCCTGTGAAAGGCAGTGGAGCCCACTTTCCAGACAATGCTGCCATGACTGTGAGGTGAGGGCATAATATCTGGAGTTTCAGCAAATGAAAAAGTTCCAGAGGCTACTCAGCATCATGACTCCCAGGGATCAGTACACCACCAAATACAGCAAAGAGCTCCTGGGAAAGAGAGACAGTGACCCCAAAACTGCCACATATTCAGCTTCACTCTGTCTCAGCTCCAGTGTTACAGAAGAGGGAGAAATCCACTAATGGTGGATTTTTACAGTCCTAACAAGTGACAAAATTTGATTTTTTTGTAAGCATATGTTTTCAGCAAGCCAAATCTACTTACACGACCACCATTTAGCATCAATACAAATAAAGTTTAAGAGAAAGGAATAAATATTTAATATATTTAGTGCATGCATAGATACTGCTGTCGAATACAGAGCAATAGCTCTGGTGTGCCAGGCACCACTGCAGGCATAGCACAGGTCAAATAAATGATTGCAATCAACATGTTTTGCAGCCACAGCTTAATAGACAGCATCATGCAAACTATTCGTCATCTGCAGATGCAGCCTTGATTCAAAACCATAGACAGTATGGTCCAGCCCAAAGCAACCTCATCACGCGACAAGTACCTGGGAACAAATTAATGCTTCGCTCATACTAAAGGTGTTCCACTGACATAGGCTGCTAAGCACTGCTGCCTTGCACAGCTTTACACCACCATCGTGAACGTGCTCTGCTGGTGCATACCAGAAGGCAAGGATAAGATCCTGGACAAGGTTTCAAAAAAACAAGGTAAAAGAGATACACTGTGTTTCTTGCGATTATAGCTGCACACCTTCATACCTGAGGATTGCACTTGAGCAAACAGATCCTACCTTGTCTACACTGAAACGGTTGTATCACACACTGGCACTAGGGATCTTGGGGGCTCCTAAGTATTTGGGGTGCATTTGTGTTGGCATCATTTTGTCCACCCCACCTGTGCAATCCTCTAAGACCGTCCATTCAAGTTCTGCAGTTACCCATGTCGTATTTGCTATGCTGACAACAGCACAACGCAGCCACAAATGCTACAGAAGCCTCAAAGATCACAACTCCGAAGGTAAATTGAACTAGATTCAAAATGACTGTCAACAGCTCTGTGGGAGCTCTGGACGGACAGAGACACACTCCTACAGAATTTCCATCTTAGGATGTTCAGCTGGTCCCTAACCCTGAGTCAAATTCCTTGCAAAGCACCTTGCAATTTTCATTGTTCATGCAGACCCAGGAGTCTGCATTAGGGTCATCTTCCTCTTTAAAAAAACATCCACTTGGTACACCTAAGGCCACGTATTTGCTCTTGTGTCCATTTTCTTTGCTTTGACCTCAAAATTCTTGTAGAAATCCTGGTCTGCTTTTTCTAGTAGTGATTTGCATAGAAGGCCAACAACGAAACTGTTTCTCCCAAAGCAGCAGCTCTTGCTTCCGCTAGCCGAGTACGGCCAGATTTATTTATATAAATGTGAGCATATTCCTCTGACATATAACTGACCTTCTCATACCAGCTGGTAGCTCACAGGAAAGGAATTTTGGGGGGCGAGGGCAATTTTTTGCTTCTCACATCTTGTTGCCACGTTGCCCCATGCTGAGCACCGGCGAGCGCTGCGCTGCGCTGCGCCGCTGCGAAGTCTCCCCGTCCGGCTTGCCGTGGCCGTGCGGCCACAGCGGCCGCCGCCAGCCAGCAGTCACAAACCCGGCAGTTAGGCAGAAATCGTGTGGGAACGTTCGCGTCGACAAGAGTCCCGTTGCTTACCTCATGGCCGAACCGAGGATGCCTTTGCTCTGCCCGCTGCCCAGGTCACCCCCGCCAAGCGGGGAGCAGCCGGAGCTGAGCAAAATCACCCTTGTGCCATTCAGGCAGATCGTGTTAGCAGCTGATGAATTGTGGTTATCTGAGCTATAGCTTATTGCTCACGGGTAAGCCGACCCAAATTGAAAACATCACCACTCTTCAGCAACAAGTTTGTGTGTGTGGGCATGAGTCAAATTAGAAGCAATGTCTGAGTTAGGACTCCAGTTATTCCATAGTGAAGACAAGCCCGTGTTATCCAAAATTCACCCCCTTCCAGGGACTCGACTTTATTGGTTATTCAAACATTACTGTAAAAAAAACCCTGGCTGACACTTCCTACCCAAACTTGGCAATTCCTTAAATTTTCCTCCAAAATCTGCTTTGTCCTAGCTGTCTCTGGGCACAAAGAGACACTCCCACATCCTTTACATTCCAGTTGGGGCTAATTGAACTCACATGTCAGCATGAGTCAGCAGTAATTACCAGGAATATTAAGGAGAGATTTGGCACTGGACCTTGGATATTCAGCAGCAGAGCCCCCACGTTTAGTGGGGGTCTCAGTTTGAATCGAACCCCTTCAACACACGACAGCAAAAGCTGTACCAAGTTCTCAGTCTAGTACCACTACATATAGGCAGTTCCTGATACTGAAAGTGTCTTTACTGTCTTTTCAGATATACCTACTGAAAGGCAAATCTATTGGAAAACTCATTTCTGACTACTAAATCTTCCATGGTAGAGTTTAAATCTGTTTATACGCTGAAACCGAAGAATCAATATTAGACCAGCTGGCTGGTTTTCATAAGCATCTGCACTACAAACAGGGCCCAGCACTGCATTTCCTCTCTACGATTCCTGGGCAGAAATCTGAATTGATGGGAAGTTGAGGTACTAATGTACCTCCCCCTCCTATGGCTCATTTGGAATAAAAATCCTGAAACGACAACAACAACCCGGCTTTTCCACATACGAGCGTTCGCTCCCTGCCACTCTTTGCCGAAACAGTCCCCCTCAGTACACCTTCACCCCCTGGACCGTGGAGCCTTCTGCTCCCAGAGCCGAAGGCTGGAGGTGTTTACACATGAGCCCAACGCAGCCCCTAGAAACCCAGTGCTCTCCTTGAGACCAGAGGACACCCGAATACACTTTTACGGTCAACTATGGAAAAAAAAAAAAAAAAAAAAAAAAAAAAAAAAAAAAAAAAACCAGTAGTTTGTCCCAAACACATATACTGGTGCAGAGACGCGGTGGATGCGGCAGTGAAAAGCCAGGGCTGTCTCAGCCTGTGCTCAGGCAGGGGCTGCCAGCAAGAGCAACGGCATTAAAGTTACTATCAAAACCTTAACTGGTAACTCTTTCTGGATCTTAATATCTATGGTATTAGGTACTTTGTTTTTCAAGGAAATAAATTCTTGCTCTTAGTTGCAAATTAACCGAGTGTCTTGCCAGTGAATTTGATCTTGTCAGTCATTAAGTCTCTTGCTTAAATGCAATGATTTAGTCTTAGCCCTGGATAGTAACACTCTCTACGGTTCATAAAGGAGAACGGTTTTATTTTATCTACTGCAAACATATGTGCATCAACATTCTTCTCAACAGACTACTTCTGAGCCCAACCAGATCATTCAGTTTTATTTAAATCCAGTCCTGGTTGTCCTTTTGAAACCTCCAACTACCAAACAACGTCAAGTATATTCTTGGGTTTTTCTGGTGGTTTTTGTTTCTGGGTTTGTTTCTTTTTTTTTTTTTTTTTCTTTCTTTTGGTCTTAATAGCCTAGCTCCTAGAAACTCACTAAATGACGCACAAACATTGTTCATGTCCGTCTTCGGAAAAAAAAAAAAAAAAACAAAAAACCCAAAAAACAAACACAACAAACTTTTTATGTAATATAACTTGTTTTTTTGCTATTTGCATTATTCTTTAATAAAGACATAAAACTACAGCCTCACCTGAAGACGTACAAAATTCATGTTTACTAAAACCAAGTAGCGCAAAGTCAGAAAAATCACCAGAGCCCGTACACACGCTTCACCCTTCCCTCGCTGATTTTTTTCCCCCCCTTTTGGCATGTCAAACTGAAAAACAACACGAATTTTTAGCTCTGAAGTTATAAACCGCTGAAAATGAAGCTTTTCGGGGGGAAATACTGGCTGACCCCAAAGCGTACCCACCCCCTTCTGTGCCAAGCGAGCGCGCTTCGGGCTCGAGAGTGGCGACGTGAAACTTTATTTCACTTGCTTTCCCCCCCGAAAGGTCTCTCGAGGCATCGGTGGAAGGGGATGAGCGAAGCCAGGGGCGGCCGAGGTGCCGCGGCGGGGCCCTCCGCCGCCCCGGTTCCAGCCCCCCGGGGCAGCAGCCCGGGCATCACCCGCCCCGGGGGCCGGCGGGGACCCGGCGCCTCCCGGGGCTCCCGCCTGCGGGCTGCGGAGCAGCACCGGCGCCCCGGGGGAAGAAGCGGGGCTCGTCCTGCGCGGCTGCTGTCCCACCACCGCCGAAACGGCCGGGGGAAGCACCGACACCCCGGTGGGGTTTGTTTTGGGTTGTTTTTTTTTTTTTTTGGGGGGGGGGGGGGGGGGGGGGGGCGCGAGGTGGCCGGAGCCGCCGGTCCCCCCCCCCGCAAAACCCGGGGCTGAAGTGAAGCCTCGCCTGCCCACCGCGAGCTCCCGGGATGCAGCGACTTACCCCACGGTCCCCGCCACGACCCGGGGAGGGGGAGAGGGGGGGTGGGGACGTGCAAAGTTTCTCCGGGCGAGGAGGAGCAGCCCCCGGCCGCGGGGCAAGAGCGGGCGGCCGAGGCGCGGCGGCGGTGCCGGGGCGGAGGTGCGGGAGCGGGCGGCGGGAGCGGGCGCCGGGGGGGGGTGGGGGGAGGATGCTCGGCCGCCGCTTCTCCCTCGTGATTCAGGTGGCGGGCGGGCGGGTGACAGGGCGAGCCGCCGGCTCCCCCGCTCGCACGCGATCGCCGGCTCCGCCGCCGCCGCCGTGACCCCCCCCCCCCGCCGCCGGCAGAGGGCGCTGCGGCGGCACCGGCGGCCGGGGGCGGGCGGCGGCGGCGGCGGCGGGAGGGGGGGGGGGGGCAAGGGGAGCGGGGAGCGGGGGGGGCCGCCGCGCTCCCATCGCTGCCGGTGCTGCCTGCCGCTCCGCCGCGGGACGGGGGGGGGGGGGGGGGCGAGGCGAGCCCCCCGCCCCCCCCCCCCCCCAACCACACCCCTTCCCGCCCCGCCGGTGCGCTGCACCTGCCGAGCCCCGCTCGCCCGAAAAGTTGAAAGGGAAGAAAAGTACCGCGCGGGTCCTTCCCCGCCCCCGGGATGTCTGGAGCAGCCTCGACACACACACACCCCCCCACCCCCGGCATCGGTGCCTCCGGAGGGGGCTTCCCTCTGCCCCCCCACCCGCCCCCAGCTCTGCGCGGTGCCGGTTTCTCTGCGCTTCTCACCTTGGGTGGTGGGCGCCCATCTCCCGCTGCCTACCGGTACCTTCGGTTCAGCACCGTGTTTACCAGCTTTACCAGGAAGCTGAGTGATAATTGGGATTTTTTTTTTTTTTTAATTAGCAGACTTTTTTTTTTTTATTTATTTTTTTTTCCCCCAGAACGTTTTGCTGATGGAATTCTGATTTGTACTGGAAGCAGCGGGGGATCCCAGTCAAGCAGTCCAGCAGCGAGGCCTTTTGTGAGCGGTGTTAGATGCTGGTGTTTGATAAGTACCTGAAACAGCTCTTGCACGGGAGGCTTGAGGACAGGACAGAGAAAACCAGAGCAGGTTGGATGCAAAAAGTCCAAGGTAACAAAGTGAAAAACAATCCTCTCCCTCCCTGGTGGGGCGCCAGTCCTTAGCGAGGACACCCAAGCGTTGAACCCCCGGCAGACTGCTGGGACCGGTCGCTGTGGGGAGGAACTGCTGCTCCTCAGCCCCGGGCTGCCTGTGTCTCCTCGGACGCAGACGCTGGGGCAGGTACCATCCTTCAACGGCAGCCCCGGACACCGTGCTGCCACTTCCCAGGCCTCAGCTGGCTGAGCCCCATAGCCACGGGCAATCCTTCTGGGAGAGCCCAGGATCAAGATACAGCTGGCAGGAATAACGTATAGGAAAGCAAAGAATTCCACTTCTGCTAATCATAGAATCATTGAGCGGTTTGAGTTGGGAGGGACCTTTAAAGGTCATCCAGTCCAACCCCCCTGCAATAAGCAGGGACGTCTTCAACTAGATCAGGTTGCTCAGAGTCCCATCCAACCTGACCTTGAATGTATCCAGGGATGGGGCATCTACAACCTCTCTGGGCAACCTGTTCCAGTGTCTCACCGCCCTCACTGTAAAGAATTCCTTCCTTATATCTAGTCTGAATGATCTAATAGATGCTCCATCCATACAAAGCTTTGATCTCCGGTTGCTTGTGGTACAGAAGGAATGAAAATGCACTGCCTGGTCAAGAATTCGCTGGGGAAGGAGTGGAGAAGAACAGGAGCATTAGAAAGTACCTGAGCCTTCCCTTCTGCCCCCTCGCCCTGGACGGCAGTGAGGAGGGTGGCACCAGCTCCGTGGCAGGTCTCCGTGGTCACACTCGTGTGGCTTTCCAGCTTCCCCAGCAGTTCAGAGCTGTATCTCTCTGCACTGCCCCGCCGCCTGACCTTATCATCGTTGTTAAGTCTTTAGCTTGACCGCTCTTGTCTTGCTTTCAGCAAGGAGACCTCACTTGGGCAAATGTACCCACATAATAAGCTTCCATCCCTCTTTTGACCATCTTCTTCCAGATGAGGGGTAGCCTGGAGCCCAGCCCTCCTGTCCTGTGCATGAAGATGGAAGAGCCCAGCTCACAGGAACACTATTGTTCCAGCAAAATAGAACTAGTCAGTGTTGTTGATTGCTCTGTTACATCTTCCCAGACAGAGCCTTGGCTATAAAAATAGATGCAATAATCCACACGGACAGTTGCAATTGTAAACGGCATTCAAAAAGCAAAAACGGAATTCATAGTTTGACACAGACATATCCCCAATCCGTCAGGATGTGACACATTGGGAACGTGTCTGTGCCAAACTATGAATGCCTTTATTTACTTTTCTTCTGAATGCTATTTACAATTGTAACCTTCACAGTAAATTAGTGTATCTATTTTATATCGGACATTTTCTGAGAGGCTTTGGTACTGTCTGCACTTATATTCACAGAACTGATGTAAGTTAGACTGATTCGGGCCACAATAAATCTTCAGGGACTACAGACTGTGCTTATGTTAGGAGGATTTGCCAGCATAACCCTACCAGCAAAATCCTATCTGGCAGAGGCAAGGCCTATGTTTGGAAAGAGAAATCAAAGGCCATCAACACTGAATAGCTCTCCACTAGATGGAACAATGGTGCTTCGGCTGCCAGGCCATTGACAGGGAGTGATTTACCCAGAAGAGAATTGGGGAGAGTAGGGAGAGGGGGGTCGTGTGGAGCCCAGAAAGTGCTGGATAATGGTGAGACAGTCATGGGACAACTATTGTTCGTCACTTCTCCTGGTGAACTCAATGCCACGGAGGAGGGCCGGGGAGCTAGGAGGTGTCTTGGTGTGTGAAGACACACACATCCGAGCTGAGTGACCAGGCATGAACCAGCTCTCATTTAGAAGCGGTGTCACCACGTGGTGTTCAGGTCACTCTCCCAAACCTCTTAGGGGGCTCGTTTGACTGGGAACGGGGCCGAGCTAGCATATGTCCAGCTTGGAATTTGGACCCTTCTGCACCTGTCTGCATCGATACGTCCGAAGACGACGGTTTGGATGTTTTATGGAAGCTTACTCCATGTACAGCTGAATGACCCGGGCTACAGAGAGAATACTTGTGCTGTGTTCTCTTCACTCCCTGGTTTTTAATTTTTGTTAAAAGTAATTACATTTGCCAGGCAGGAATTGTTTTTCATAATCTCATGCTGCTGACTGTTTATACTTACACCAGCTATGTGCAGATCTTTTTTATACAAGTTAGGCTTACTGAACAACTGCCAGATAGTTCTGCTTTCCTTCTTGAATTTTAATTGCTTACTTGCCCAGCATCTATTTTTAAAATGGAACTGTAAATGGAACAGTAAGTTCCATCACTCACCGTAGAGGCAGGGGGTCAGTGCCCTCCTTACTCCTCCTCCGCTCCCTCCTGCAGGGAATGTGGAGGAATTGGGACCTGAGCTGTCAAAGCATCTAACCACAGGCATAAGCATTTAAGTTCAGGAATGCATCTAGCTGCTTTGCAGGACTGGAAGTAGAGCTCAGTATTTCACAGGGCTGAGACCAAGGTTATCAGGACATACTGATTTTATAGTAGCAGTGTGATCATCTACAGACTCACGTGCACACATATACGTAAAGACACAGAAACGGCTGAAGGTGCAGTGCACACAGAGTAGGAGGCTAGAGACCCGTGCAGTCTCAGCTGTGTTGTGTGACCAGGGAAGCAGGTTCTGGATAGCGCTACTAGGTGGCTTATGAACCCTTCATCTGCTTAGGAAATCTGTGCCTGCACAGGGTTTCAAAGAAGAAGCTCTGAAATACCAGTCTGCTTTCCCCTCGGACTCCCTCTACTCGGTGGAAAATACACGTTCGTTCAAAAGGCTGGTTTCAACACTGAACCTAGACCGTCATCCACACCTTCATTTTCAAGACCACATGCCATCAGTTTCTCACATCACCCCACTTCACTTCTGGAAAATAATTATCGAATTTAGTCATCATCCGTCTTCTTATGGTCATCATTATTTCGAGCATCTACATACTCAGAACATCCCTTTCATCTCTAGTATTACAGCTGCTTGAATGTATCTGGCTTCTCAGCTCCATCACTTTTGCTCAATTTTTAATATTTCCCATTATTTTTAGACTAGTGGGAAGGGAGGTGATCGTGTGCAGGAAACTAGCAGGGAGTTGGAAGCCAATATAATTTTCTTCTTGATGCTTTAAATGACACACACTATTTGAAAAAAAAAAAAAAAAAAAAAAGAGAGACAGACATTCTTAATATTCTCATAAACACAAGCATTTCCTCATGAAGCAACACTGGTGGCTTCTTATTCCTGTCATACTGCTTTTATAAACTCTTAAAGTACAAAGTGATGGAAATACACTAGGTCTCCAGATTGTCACAGCTAGCAATTTCAAATTACTTTCTTTTATTTGAATAGAGTTTTTCAGAACTATCATATCCTATTTAAAGAAAAAAGAAAAAAAGAAAAAAGAGGTGTGTAAGATGTTTGGATAACATTCTTGTTAAACTACAAGCTGTCCTTACTCCGGATTTAGCCCCTGATTTAATCAACTGTCCATAAGAAATGCAGAAGAAGTCAAATCGCAGCTCAAAAGAGCATCTCAATGACCAAATGACCAGCCATTATTTCATTTTATTTTTTAATTTTCCAAGATGTACTTAGCTGGTATTGGGTAGCTCTCTAAACTTGCATACTCGTAAGGGCTGTCTGTGTCACACGGCAACGAGAATTCCCCCGCCTGAGCTACTTTTGCTGCCATTCCCCCCTTCCCTCTCCTCAGAGGGCCGCCGGTTGGTAGGGCTGTGGTGCTGATGTTTCACTGCAGGCTTCTGGATCCTGCAGAGAGGGAAAGCAGAAGTTTGGCTGCTGGGCTGCTGCTGCTGCCGGCGGCGAGCAGGGGCTGGGGCTCGCTCGCTCGCTCAGCGAGAAGCCGGGCCGGGAGCCGGGGGGAGGCGAAGGCCGAAA